AATTGCTTTTAGGCTATGTGTATAAGTTATATATTAAACATACATGAATTTTGTGTTGAGACGTGGGTCCCATTTCCAAGATATCTCACTATGTACATATATGCCAATATAGGTATTCCAAAAAAATCCAAAATCCCTCTGGTCCCAAGCATTTCAGGCAAAGGAGACTCAACCTATAAATTATTGACAGACTTTTTTCTCTGGCCAGATGCAATGTTTTTTTTTTCCCCACTAAGGCAGATTTGCTGGATTCCCTTGCTTAAGAGAGATGTTGCCCTTGTTAATATGGAAGTCAAGTCAATGAAGCATATTTTTTGGCCCTGTAGCTTTTACAATGAGGTGCACCAGTATCTGATTATCTCAGTGCTGAGAAAATCTGTTGGATGTTCTGCCCAATTTCATATTGGGTTCTTGGCAAAAGATAAGTCCCTCAAATGTAACAATTTCTTTCAGAGATAAAGATGATTAGAGCATTCTATGTGTTTTAGATAAAGCTGATAGCAATCATTTTATTGTTTTTACTGTACTATTTATTCTTTTTGGATGTTGTTTTTAATTTTATGTTTGAGTTTTCTATTGGATCTATCAGATCTGTTTATTGTAATAAATGATGATGATGATGATGATGATGATGATGATGATAATTATGATATGTAAATTATTTTATTGTTTTTATCTGGAATTGTTTTAAATTGTTTAGATTGCCTTAATTGTCTGCAACCTTGGGATTTCATGACAGAGGGCAGGATCGGAATACCTTAATGAAATAGCATAAAATAAAAATTACAGACACCTTGCTAGTCTAAAATGTGCCACATTCAACGTTGTGTGAAGAGAAAAAAAATGCTTACGCAAATGAATATGTTTATCCATCTGTTATGGGCCTGATTGTCACTGTCCCATAGAACCTGGGAGTCCTAAGAGGCCATGTCAATTCTTGCAAGTTTTCTCATCTTCAGCAAGAAAAGTTGCCTTGACTTTAAGAAAATGGTCGACTCTTGAAAGATTTTTCACACTTCTGGATTTTTTGTTTTGTAAAGAATGCACCTATGCAATAAATGTTTCTTTTGGGTGCAATGAAGAATAATTTTGCACAAAAAATGCAGTGCATTATGGCACAAAATACGTGGCTCTCTCTACAAAAATGTTGTGGGATCCCCTAACCGCACCAGGCAGTGCTAAATATCCGACAGCACACCTGCGAGGTTCTTAACACCTAGTCTCTTGGGAAATGACATTTCCTCTCTCACTAAGGATGAGCTTTGTGGTAATTAAGGCTCTTCGGCTGTGTTGCTATTTCCTCCCTGATTATTTTACCACGGAGCATGGTGCTATTTTTAATGTCAGCATCGCCTCCTCAGACAGCCAATGTTTGATTGTGAAGGCGTGGGTGGCATATTTATTTATGCTGCCACCCTACCCTTTCTCAAAGAGATTCCAGACTGGTTATGGGGGTTTTGCAAGGGGGAAAGAAAAGGCACTCAATATACATAAAAACACTTTAAACCAAAGATGACCCTCGCTAGCAAAATCTCAAGAAGCAAGGGCTTACCCACAATGGAATTTGAGCAGCTATGGCTGGACTCTGGTGCTTCTCCAAGAAGGAATATTTTTGCTAACTGATGATGAGCAACTAGGAATACTCCCCAAAGGATGTGCCCAAGGACATCATAAAACTGGACACAGATTGCATGAGGCTCCTCTACATTTGCCAGAATACTCCGGGCTACCCCCAGAATATTCTGGTCCCAAATTCCACCTGAATCCTCTTCCCAACCTGCTACAACAAATGCATCAATGATGGGTGGCTGCCTTCCCTTGCAGTCCCTGCAAGCTGGACACTGCTGCAACTACGGGTGTGGGTTGTTCTGCCATCAAGGTGATTTGGCAGGGTTACCTGCATGATCCGCATGGGAAGGGAGCCATCCATCTTCGCTGCTCAACAGCGATGCTGGCAGGGATTGTGTGGGAAGGCAGTTACCTGTTATTGTTGCATTTTCCTCTGGGTTTTCTGGAAAACCCAGAGTAAAAGGCAAAAGGAAAAGTTTCCCCTTTGATAAGGTTGTCAAGTCATGTCCAACTGTAAGGGGTGGTGCTCATCTCCATTACTAAGCCAAAGAGCCAGCGTTGTCAAAGACAACTCCATGGCCATGTGGCCGGCATGACTATACAGAATACTGTTACCTTCCCGCCAAAGTAGTACCTATTTATCTACTTGCACTTTTACATGCTTCTGAACTGCTAAGTTGACCAAAGCTGGGACTAGTGACAGGAGCTCACTCTGTCACATGGTGCTTGGGTCTCGAACTGACCACCTGCCAATATTGCAATTGTCAAAGTCAGCGTCTTAACCGCTGAGCCACCGCTCAGTAAAAGGTAAGTCTACCTTAAAAACTAAGTCTTAAAAGTCTTAAAAGGTAATCCAGAGTAAAGGATAAACCACACTGAATCCCATTTTGGGAGAAAGGCAGGATATAAATCCAGTAAATAAACAAAGTGGGACAAGGGGTCAAAAAGCCCAAATCAGGTCTGAGCCTTGTGGAAACAGCCCAAAACTAATTCAGGGTTTGAGGACCGCGTAATGTAAACAGCATGCAGCCAGCTCAGAGGGAATTTGGGGTATATAGGTAATGCCATGGTGATCTGATCCCAGAGGCTAGGAAAATTACTTTTTTGGACTTCTTGTTTTCTGCCTTCAAAGAGTTGCCAACTTAAGGCAACCCTACCACACTTTACTTCTCCCATCCCTATAAAAAAAAAGAGGGGTGTTTCCAAAAAGTCAGCCAAAATGGCAGTTTGCTTCCAGGATCAGCTGCTAGGAACCTTGGAAGGAAAGGTGCCCTGCAAAGACACACTTTTCTCTTTACTCACCAGTTGATTTCATTGTAGTCATTGTGAACTTCCCACCAGAAATAAAACCAGATCAGGGTCAGGAAGAAGGAAAAAGTGAGGATTAAGAACCAGAGGCGTTCCCACTGTGAGAGAGAAAGAGAGAGGAAAGAACCAAATTAACAGGGCTAGGACAGGGCAGCAAGGCATAATATAAAATACTGTTAAATACACACATATACATTTCCCAAAAAAGCCAGAATGGTGTAGTGGTCTGAGTCCTGGACTATGACTCTGGAGACAAGGGTTCAAATCCTGTCTCAGCCATGTAAACCCATTGGGTGACCTTGGGCAAATCACACACTCTCAGCCTCAGAGGTAGACAGTGGCAAGCCACTGACCCCAAAACATTTGCCATTTATTTATTTATTTATTTATTTCCGGCCTCTCGTCAGGCTCGAGGCGGGGTACAACATGTCAAAATACAAAACACAATTTAAAAGAAAACACATACAACACAAACTATAATATGATAAATACAATAAAACTATATCTTTGTACTGTTACAGCTACTTTTATTTGTTGTTCATTGCCTTGGGAGCCCATGTGGGCTGAGAGGTTGATATATAAATAACTTAAATAAATAAAATAAATTATCTATATACAGTTATGTCTACCCCTAGTGCATACATATCTTTTATAATTATTTATAGCCATAGGGTAACTCTCTTGGTGGGCGGTGCAAATCCACAAATGCAGGTGACCTTTCAGGCTAACCTTGAGCTGCATTCAAAATGAGGCTGATAGCAATTTTGACAAATAAGCTGAACAAGGGATTTTCAAAAAGAGATCATTAGCATTTCACATTTACAGGCAAGACTCCCATTCAGTTTTCCCAGGCTCTGGAGACTGATGTGGCATCCATCACCCTGTTAAGCCGCTTTAATAGAATGGCGTTCTGGGACAAGGGAAAGGCTCTTCATCAGTCTACTGCTAGGAAACCAGTTAAAATGTTGCCTAATCTGCATCTTTTATTTGAAATTTTTATGTCTCCCATCTCACACAGCATTGCAAATGCCCGCAGATTTATAAAAGACCGATAGAATTAATCAGAGAGCTGATATATGTAAGAGCTTCATTCTGCCCGGTTTTGAATCAGGGAACCATCTCTCTTAGTCCAATTTAACAGTGACAGTTTTATGACCTAATAAATTTACAGACTAAAAGCACTTTGGGTCACCAAATCTCAACAGGCAGCCTACAATTCAGTAAGATGTCTTACCCACCCATCTAAAGGGTTTAGTAGAATATCACATGTGAGAAGTGCATGTCAAATATCTAATATAGCTTGAATCTCCCTTATCTGGAATTCCAAAATCCCAAATATTCCAAAAACCAAAATCCTTTTTCATAGTGACATCTTTGTTTTTTGATGTTCAATTTACACAAACTTTGTTGCATGGACAAAGTTATTTAAAACACAGTATATAAAATTACTTTCAGGTTATGTGTATAGGGTGTATATGAAACACAAATGAATTTTATGTTTAGATATGGGTCCCATCTCCAAGGTATCTCATTATGCATGTATATGCAAATACAGGTATTGCAAAATAATAAAATAATAATCCAAAATTCCAAATGCTTCTGGCATCAATCATTTTGGATAAGGGAGACTCAACCTGTACCACAGGCATATTGCCCACAGACTCCGACACCTATCTTATCATAAATGGAGAAGAGTTTAGAAAGGTTACTTTTGGGGGATTACAAGCCCCGAAACCAGTATGACTACAGGGAGTTGTAATCTGGGCACTATCGGTAATCTGTAATCTTGTGGTCTGCAACTCTGAAAGTTGGAACAGAGGGAAAAAGTAACTTTTCCCAAGCTCTAAACCAGGGACAGGCAACCTTTTTGAGACCTGGGTCGGTCTCCCGTAGCCCA